CCAACCACTCTCCTCCTTTTCTCCTCCCCTCTTATTCAAACAATAGATACCAACAATAATGTTGAATGGCTGAGCCAGAATCAATGTCGGAATCCCGCTTCTACTGCAGGCACAACATGAGGTCCACCATAGCCATGGCCACCCTTCTTCTTCCTCTTCATGTAGGCCAAGGCTATGGCGGACTACTAGGGCCTCGCCCTGCTGTGCAAAGGACAACACAAAGCAGCTATGCTCGCTGCTGTTCAGGCTGCCATGCCCGACTCTGCCTTGAAACCCTCTCGGTGCGGCGCAACTCCGACTGGGGCCTTCCAGATGCAGCTCCTAACAAGGTGATGAAGCTGGTGCCCACCATAACCAGGTAGGTACCTCGCCACTCTCCTCCCTAGCCCCCTTCTTCCTCCTCCTCCTCCTCCTCCTACCGGCAGAGCTCCACCATAGCCAAGGTGGGAACTCCTCGTCTCCCTCCCACCGTCTTCACCCGAAAATAACTCCCGGGCATTATATTCAACTTTTTTTTTTTTTTAAACAAGTCCTTATCGCCCTGGCTCCATGTCCATTTTGGGGAGCATCAGTCCGGTTCCTATTCCACCGGCACGTCAGGAAAATTAGTTACATCATAAGACACTCTCACGCTTCCTTCCGTCTGCCCGAAGGAACCCTGATCAGCATTGATTGCTCCAACACCGTGGAGGATTGACTGTCAGCTTGCCCTGCTTCCACCTTTGCTCTCAGGACTACTATCACAAGCTGTCAAATACAACATGAAAAGCAAGAAAGGTCTGAGAAGCTACAACTGCTACCAATTCTGTCAAAACCCTAAACCCCGCATAACAGCCTCTTAAAATCCCTTGCCTTCTAACCCCTGCTTGTTTTATTTCTGTCCAAAGCCTCACCCCTAAACCCTAGACCCTAAACAAGCTTAAACCACCAGTACTTGGCCCAGCTATCGGCTGCCGAAAAAAATAGAGTAGAAATGTTTCTAGTCGGATGAACTTCGGCGCTCTTGTAGTAGCCCATACGTTTCCTAAAATCCTGGCGTGTTAACGGGCACGACTCTAGGAAGTACTGGTGGTTTAATCTTTCTCCCTCTGAAATGGCGCTTCTATGCCTGTATTCAGGGAAACTTCCCGTCCAGAAATAGCCTTAATGACTGGATGTTTTATTTGGGCTAAGACGGTAGCCATGCGGACTAGAACCTGTACGCGTGTGGAAAAGACGTTTCGCTTCCACAAGCCACACTCGAACCATTCCTGACCAGTTGCATAAGCTCGTGCTATGATACTTGTGTGGCCTGCGATGGAGCTTGCTGGATTCTCTGTCTTCTCAGGCCCACTTCTGAGTTGCGCCAGTCCTTCCAACATAGGCGGAAGTCCTTTATTTCTGCGACCTTGCCACCTGCCAGCCATATCTTTGTAAATTTCTTCACTGTTCTCTGCTGTTGGTCAGCCTCATCCGTCGTGGATTGTCTTGTCTTCTGCCACTTGCACAAAAACTCTGCCTGAATTAGTGTCCTTGTCTCCGCCCTACTTTCTCCCTTGGTGTAGATAGCCCTTCGATGGTTCTGCTGCACCTTTCCTTCCATATATATAGACTAGAGTATAACTTTTCTGATCATCCCAAACCATATCTTTTCGGCCTTGTGAAACTGAGCAGGAATGTTAGTCCGCCTTGTTCCAAAAAAAAAAAAAGAGGGAAAAAAAAGGAGGGATTAAAAAAAAAAAAAAAAAAAAAGAGCAGGAATGTTAGTCCAAAGGAGGAGTTGGATGGGGTGTTCGGGGAGGGGAATTGGGAAAAGGGATGTCCAGAGGTCTGATGCTCTGGCCCAATACTCCGTCGCTTCTCTGCACCTTATTAGACAGTGTATCATATCAAAGACTTCAGGTTCGTTTTCCGAGCATACTACGCATAGGTCAGACCGTCAGAGCTATTAGGGTCATTGTGTCTTCTTCTGACAAGCAGCCAATATTTAACTTATCCTTAAAAAATCAGATTTTTGTTTTTACTCACTTTATTTTGAACAGAACACCCCTTCAAATATAATGCCCGGGCATTATAATTGAATGTTCCATGGGCAGAGAGCCTTGTTAGAGGGAATATACATGGGTTCTAAAGGGGGGAAAGGGGGGGTATCCATGGGTTTTGAAGGGGGTGGGAAGGGGTTTTGACTTCCAAGGGGGGTATCTCTGAATTTGTAAGGGATTCTGAAGTGACCCGCGGCCAAAAGTTTGTTGCAGTGACGTTCTAGACGACATATTTTTTTTACAGAATTTTTTTATTTTACTTTTTGTTTTGATTTTTTGGGGCCCACAGAAGTTGCCACCAATTTACTGAATATAATGCCCGGGCGTTATACATATAGAATAATGCCCGGGCATTATTTTCGGGTGAAGACGGTAGCGCTGCTCTGCCCAGTGCTCCTCCCTGCTCCAGCGCTCTGAAGGCTGGTGCTCGCTCAAGCAGCACGGCGTCCAAACTTGCATACTGCAAACGAGGAGCACTTCACTCCTCCTACTTGCCTTTGGGCGGTGACTTCCTAGGCCGTGCAGCCTCCAAGCAACCCGTACCTCCTCCCTTTCGGAGGAAACATCATTGCAGACTCTGATATTGGCTGTACAGGCCCTAGACTCTGGTTGGACTGGTACCCGCCTCGACCTGCAGTCTTCCCCCGAATACAACATATGGTCATTATAGCTGAATTTGGGCAATATTTCAGTCTAAATTCAGCTATAATGCCGGACGTTGTATTCGGGGGAAGACTGTAGCCTACAACTACTGGGCCTTCTAATAATGCCAACTTTTGTCTTCTTCTGCTCTGCTTCGAGTATCCACCACATCTACTTCTACTTGGCGTGGGACCGGCCTACCTGCTACTTAATGTTTTTCAGCTGCTCTGAGTGCCGCGGGTCTCTTGCCCCGCCGCTTTGTTTTCCCCACTTTGTTTTCCCCCGCTGCAACCCTCAATGTCACGGCCACAGGTAAGTACCAGCCCTACAGGCCTCCCAAACAAGCAAGTACCCTTGCGGGTCACACACACACTCAGGCCGACCAGCACTCAGACTGGCACGCAAACCATCAAGCACGCGCGCGCGCACACACACACACACACACACACACACACACACACACACATAGAAAACTCAGCAGAATGCGGGAATCTCAGCAAGGCATCCATTCCAGCGGCACAACTCAGAAATCAGCAGTGTTCTCAGTCTGTGTTTTGGCAGGTCATTACATATATATAAAGTCAAACAGACCTGCCCAGTGCCCGGTAAACCGTAGGCAGAGAGGGAGGTGGAGAGAAGAGGCCAACAAACGAGGGGCTGTGACAAACTGTTTTGTCGGAGTTTCACCGACTCACGAGGAGGCTGAACCCTAAATCGTCACGACCATGTATATACACTGACATACCATAAGCGGTTAACAGGGACCCCCACTTTTCAGCCCCAGTTAACCCCCTCAACCCTGAAAAGTGCATTGGAGATCTTCTTTTTTTTTTTTTTGCCTTGTTTTATTTCTGGTCAAGGTCTGTGTGTGCCAAGTTTGCCCTGAAAAGAGTCAATTTTGCATGAGAACACACTTTTGCCTTGCTGTTTTATAGGTTTTTTTAAGTTTTTTTTTCAATTTGTTTTTTTTGTAAGTAGTTAGTACGATCTCCACTCTATGGATTGGCAGCAAGTTTGGTTAAAATGACCCTTGGGTTTTGTTATAAATGGGCTGACAACTTGTCTAAAAATTGAGGCCTCCATTCTCTGACATACATATATCATATATGAAATTCGTCTCTATTTGAAATACAATAATGATTATGAGAGCAAGATGGCATATACACAGTTAGGAGTTGTGGAAGCAGGCTCCTGTAATGGGTAGAGTTTTGTAGGGTTTTTTTTTTTTTTTTTTTTTTTACAAAGAGTTTTGTAGTTGGAGCATCCCCCACGGAAGCCTTAAAAAAAAAAAAAAGGAGTTCTATAGTTCGTTCGATTTTTTGTTTTCTTTTTCGGTCCAATTGCGTCTCTGAAAACGTTTTTTGTTTTCAAAAATAAGCATATCTGAAACTTTTTTTTTTTTTTTTTTCCCTTCTACTTCTTCTTCTCTTCTTCTTCTTTTTTAAAAGGGGGTCGACCTTGGGATACCTTTTTTTTAAAAGGGGACGGGCCCTAAGGTAATTAAGAATGATTTATTCCATTCATCAAGGTCATGCAGGATTTGAATTCAGGTCTGAAATTTCAATGGTTCATGAGCTACCGTCTTCTCACCCGAATAGAACGCCCGGTCATTAAGGCTGCATCGGGACTGAAAATCGCCCCAAATACAGCTGTAATGACAGGGCGTTCTATTCGGGTGAAGACGGTAGGCTCGTTGGTTATCTGAAACTTTTGAAGCAAGGGAGGACATAGTTATACTGCTTCAAAAGGGAAACATATACATTAAAAAAAAAAAAAAATTGAGGCACAAAATTATCACGGCCATTTCTTTTCCCCCCTCCTTGTCACAATCATAAAAGGAAGGAAAACAAACATTTGATACCTTTCTCGGCCTTTTGGCTAAGTAACGGCATACTCACACTAGCACTTTTTTACTTACTTTTTCTGGACGTAATTACGGCCAGATGCATACACGTTCGGCCGAAAATGCGGTCAGATGCATTTAAGATAGTGCTAGTGTGAGTGAGCATGCCCTAAGATCAAGCGTTAGTATCGGTTCTGATCAGTTCAATATCCGATCCATGGTCCATCGGGCCACAAACAAAAGAAAGGAAAACACACACAAAAAAAAAAAAAAAAGAAGAAGAAACGCACACGCTCTAGTCGTCATCAATAAGCAATATATAGAGATGACCGCGATATGCCATTCGAAAAATATACAGAAGTTACAGATATGCCCTTAGTACAAAACTGGGMCCCCTTTCAGGAAYCCCCCCCCCCCCCCCCTCCTTCCATATTCGTACACCTACATACGTAGCTATATTGCCCCGTTGCTCATCTGGTTCCAGGAGGATTCGAACTCGCATTCTGCTTACTAACGGTTACATGTGTCTAACATGCAGCCACATGGGCTACATGTACAGCTCCTCTTTCTCCTGCAGGTACCCCTCGTTTGTTGTCCTCTTCTCCCTTTCTGCCTACGATTTACCTTGGCAGCTCTGTTTGACAATATATACATATATGCACACACATATATGACGATACATATATGTGAAACTCCGACGAAACAGTTTGTCACAGCCCCTCGTTTGTTGTCCTCTTCTCCCTCTCTGCCTACGGTTTACCGGGCAGTCCTATTTGACGATATATATAGATATGTCAATGATAATAAACATTTGACGGTAACGTTACGCAAGTGCAGATAACATAACAAAAAACGGAAACTTGATATTATACGTAATGAAGAAATAAAACGTACATAAATTAGATAGCACAAAAACAAAAACAAACGCAGAAAACTATTATCTCACTAATTCTCCTTCGAGGGCAACAGATTACTCTTCTACTTGAAGACTCTTCTAGATGTTGGTTGTTGTCTCTCTTCTTCTCCCAATTCCTCCTCTTCCTCCTCCCTACTTGCTGCTCCGTAGTCGCCGCCATCGCTGATTCTCCTTCGTGGGCAACCGATTTCTCTTCTTCTTGGAGACTTCTAGATGTCCGCGGGAGTCTCTCTTCTTCTCCCAATTCCTCCTCCTCCTCTGCCTCCCTACTGGCTCCTCCCTAGTCGCCGCCATCGCTAATTCTCCTTCGTGGGCAGCCGGTACTCTTCTTGAAGATGCGTAGATAACGTTCCCTGGTGTCTCTCTTCTTCTCCCACTACGCCCCATTCCTCCTCCCCCCTACTGGCCGCCAGCTTGGCAGTCGTTTCTAGTTGCTTTCGAAGCGTCGCTCTCAACTGTCTGAACTCTGCTCTCAATTGCTCTACCTCCGTATTTAACGAGTTGCGTAGATCTCCTAGTTCCTGCCTGTAAGTGCGCACCTGTGAGTCCAGCTTACCCCTCCATTCTTGCAGATCTGTTTTCAGGTTTTGAACCCTCGCCAGAAGCTTCGACCTTGCGTCTTGAAGATCTCCAAGATCCTGTCGTTGATCTCCTCCCGCCGGCTTGCTAGCAGCCATCTGCTGATCGCCAATCTGAGGCGCCCGATCCCGATCCCATTCGTCGGTGGCGGGTTGATTAGTGATCCTGTCGATACCCACAGCGTGCTTCGCGCCTTTGATTGGGTGGTCGAATCCGCCGCCGGAGCCACGTGGCGGCTGCTGCTGCTGATTGCCAGCAGCTGGTTGCTGCTGAGCTGTCCGTTGCAAGCCGGATGATGAGGTGGCATTGAGGGGCGCAAAGGCTGGAAGCTGTGAGGGTGAGAGCGACGAGGACAAACGCAAAGCAGAGGAGCCTTGCCACGTGTCATTACCAGCTTGTCCTCCTCCTCCGACGCGCCCTAGCGACTTCTGCATTCCCACCCCACCCCCCTGTGTCTCTCTCATCGTACCCCCACCACCACCTCCTCCCATTCCCCTCACCCCCCCTCCATCGTGGGGTGATACCTGCGGCTCTTCCATTTCCCGCGCTAGACGTCGGGCGACGGTTGCTCCTACGTGTCGTTTGCCGCCGTTCGCAGAGCGCTGCCGCCGATTTTCTTTTTTTTATTATTGGCGACGGTCTTGAGAATTCACGTCGGCGGTGGATTTAAAATTGGCAGTTTCAGCGTGTTACCGCCCGCCTGCCCGCCCGCCCGCTCACCTCCACACGCTCAGCCGGTCACTAGCTAATTAGTTAGTTGACTAATTAGTTGGTTCTTCTTTCCGCCGAAACTACCGGTAGAAGCCCAACAACACAACTCAAATAAGACAAGGGCTGGTAATCTTCCCGACCGTGGATTTCCATGATCAACGATCAGCATCAACGGGATCCAACCGTTTGGAGAGAGGTTACTTCCTCCTCAGCGCGTCAATGATGCGACGGAGTTGCGGCGCGGCACAGGTGTTCCCCAGTGCAATCGAGAAGAATGATATGGCAAGTGAGCGGAGATCTGGCGTGGCAACGCCGCCTGCTGCGGCTCTCTCTCCCTAAGAGAGCATGGACAAACGGAGAGAGAAAGCAGCCCGCTGCTGAGTCAGCAGCTGAGTACCGTAGACGAAGTGTTGCGCGCGTTAGATCACACGGAATACCCACGTGTCAGATCAGTTGTGTACTGGAGGATGGGATTCGAGAAACTCTCAGGCGCCGGCGGCAGGCGGAGCTCTGGTACAGCCACGTCAGCACTCTGTCCGAGCCGTAACACACCTCGCGACCGGTAGCTTGCTACGGTCGCAGAAACAGACAACCGTCACAACCGTCACGTACCAGGGCGATGCCAACAACCTCCCTCCGCGCGCCCGTCCTCAGGTGAACTTCTTTTTCGGGGATGTTGTCCTCAGGTAGCTTGCCTCGGGTGAACTTCGACCCCGGGGAAAAACAAACGGAGAAGTATCGACTTACCGTGAGGGCACGGGTGCGCAGCCCGTAGTTTGTTTCGTTTTGGCTGTGGCGAGGCCCTGTGTGTGTATGCGTGTGTGTGTGTGTGTGTGTGTGTGTGAGAGAGAGAGAGAGAGAGAGAGAGAGAGAGAGAGAACATCTCTGTTTCTGAATCTGGGTCAGAACTGCTTCCAGATTCAGACAAAATCATCCAGGCCGATTGGGCCCAAGTGGGTGGGCTGGACATGAGGCTGTACGCCTGGGTCCACGCCGTTTCATATTTGAATTTGAAGGACCTGCGGCCCCCATGCCGTTTCAAAATATTTTAGACCACGGCCACCTACCGGTTCCCAGGAAAATGCCACGGGCAAATACCGGTCCTGCATTTGCTTGAACTGCGCCCCCCCCCCTAAATGCCAGTGCCTTTCATTTTACCAGCCTTTGAACGACCAATGAGCCCGAATGAACGACCGGTATAACGAACGACGACGAAAATGTCTCAGGGGGGGAAAACGCAACCCTGACGGGCTGCGAACAAAAAAACATAAGGCGAAACGGTTTCAATACCCCTAAAAGTTGGGTATTCGTCCGATATCTCCAGAACACAGGCGTATCCGATCTTCTGCTTTTGCCCCTGTCCGAGCCAATGAAAATTTTGACATATGCCCTTGGCCGTGGACTGCAGAGCCTGATGCACAACTTTTGGCATCTGTCTCTCTACCAAACAGGCATCTTCTCTGCATGTGCCGCATCCAACCTGGCGCTTGGACGTGGACTGCAGAGCTCGATGCACTACTTTTGTCATATGCCCCTTTACATACCAGGAATGAATCTTTTCTGCATGCGCCACATCCAACTTGGCGCTATGCCAATTCGAATTTTGAAAGTGTTGCCCTCGCCTCTTTTTCCTGTTGGGATGTTGGGTAGCAATCGCCAACCAAATGGCTTGAGTGAACTCCACTCTGCAGGAGGATATAGAAGTAGAGGGTGGAAAGAAGGCTTATGGCCCCCGATCCATCCTTGGGGCGAGGTTAAAATAAATACTCACATAGGGTCTTGCCATATCACTCCTAAATCCAAACCATTCTTTGAGAGTACTTTCGAACTCCACAGTGGTGTTATAATGTTGAATGACAGTAACAGGAAGAAGAAAAAAAAACACAAAATATATTACAAATATGTATTTGTATGTCGTACATCATTATCAAAATAAATTAAGAATTGAAGCAGTTTATTTTTATAACAAACGATGATGTGTAATAAAGTGTAGTAAATCCTTCAAATTCCAACCACGAGACATTTTGGTATATATTATATACAACATGAAACATAACAAGTACTCCTTATAAAAAAATTCATGTATATGTCTTTCTTCGGATGCCAACTTTGGCTTCTTTTGAGAATTTTTATTCTTCTTTCATTTCCTTTTGTACCGGAACGGCCCCGCAGAGAGCGATTTAACATTGTTCATTTTCATTTAGATTCTCAATTCATATTTTGTTCATTTATCACTAATAAACGATTATGAGAATTAGGGTTGTCAATAGTCATTATTGAAACAAAGTACTGTCGAATGGAAGAAGAAGATAATTAGTGTTTGGGTTGCAACCATTGTATATAGTAAATGGTTGTTTTTACAAGCTACAAAGAATCGGTTTTGAGGTGAATTGTAAAACTATAATTTATCTATTTGAATTTATTGCATCGACGAACACATAAAAAAAAATATATTATATAGGGGTAACTTCACTAGAGTCGCAAAAACGAGTTATAATTGCACTATGGGGTAAAATACAGTTTGCAATTGCACTTCGGACACCCTACTTGCCCATAAAGTTGGGTTGTATATATTGTCCGAACTGCAATTCGAAACTGTATCTTGACCCACAGTGCAATTATAATTCATTTTTGTGACACCCACATAGTTTCCCCTTATATATATAATGTGGTTTTCATATGGTACAAACATAGGCATGGTGACCGCAATTGATATATCAAGATTTTGTATACCAGTGTAATATTTGAATGTTATCGTATACATGAAAACAAAAACTTGTTTGGGCACAACTTTAAAATCTTAACGACAAAGAGCATTGGAGTCCACTCGGATCTCAGTTGACCCGTCACAAAACGTTATTGAGAAGGTCTATCAGGGTTTTAGAACGAATATGTTATGGTTATGGGCATATTATGATAGGATGTGATCCTAGGTGGTAATAGTCTCCTAGCATAACGCTTGTGGGTGTATCATTCAAATTTGTCATTTCAATATTAATCGTTATTTATACATGATTTTATTTTATTTTATTTTTTATGTTGAACTGATCTGACACACAAGAGTTGAAATAATAGGCAAGGTTATCTGCCTGATAACCGTGCTGACACCAATCATGTTGGTACACTAATGATGATAGCATGAACTTGAAAAATCAACGTTCAACTTGAGAATAGCCACTTGGTTAGTCATCAATATATTCACAACCTCACAACACTTACCGAACTGAGCGCCATCAACATTTTCAAGACCTCACGACGATCACCAAGCAAAGCGTGCATGATATGTATATCACCAAATCACCAGCGGCTATGTTAAACCTAAAACGATAGCTCTTGCACTGCACTTGTCTTCTCTAGGAACACGAGAAATATTGTTAAAGAAATTATCAATACAATGACGGGAATGACCTTTGAGATACTAGTACAACCGATAAGGCTGAAAAATATAGTAGTAAAAATCCACTTATCTTCGAATTATGTTACATGGACATGAAGAAAGAGGAATAAGAGACGAAGTTAAACGAAGAGACAAAAAATGAGAAAAAAAAGATAGAGTCAACGAAGCGAAAAAACGAAAAAAAAATAAAAGAACGGTAAAGGTGATGAACATGGTGAAAATAAAAATGTGAGAAAGAAAAACAACTATGATCGACATGGAGAAGAAGAAGAGACATAGGAAAAAAAAAGATATGAAGAAGGACAAGCAAAAAAATGGAGTAAAAGGAAAGCAAAAAATCATCGGTCTACCTTTTAACGGCTTCACGGTGCATGTGTCACAGATCCATGACTCCTTCTCGTCTCCCTTCTCTCTCACGTACACCCATATTCGATCTAGGACCTCTTCTTGTCTCCTTTTCTCTCTCATGACCTTTCTCTTTCACTTCCTTCGACGACAATCGCTAACTCAAGACGATTGCTCTGAAATCCAGTAATTGTCATACATCTCCACTCTTCCCCTCTCCCCCGTGACCATTAAAACTCGCTCTCTCTCTTACATGTTCCTCACGATGAACATGACAAAAACAATATAGCGAGCCGCAAAGCTTTCCTCTAGTCTTGCACTGTCGAATGCCTATTTGATGAACCCTTGAGTCTTTTGCCAGTTGATCCCTTCACCAACAACAACCATAGCAAAAGGGCACAAAATTGACCTCATCATATCTCAAAACCATGTAAACACGAATTTAACAAGCATCAACATCAATGTGAGTTTTCATCACTCTGGTCGAGTGCGCCAACCATACCTCTCGTGAACTCCTACGAGACGATAGGGTTATGCGAGAGGTATAGCTGGTGCACTCGGGCAGAGCGGCGAAAACTCCCCTGCGAATAAAAGTCCTGCAAAATCCTGCGTGACGCGGTCGGGAGGGTCCCCTTGTGGGACCGATGCGCTCGAAAGGTGGCACCTTTGTCGAGGATCCCAGTTGCCTACAAGGATTCTTAGTGAACGAACCCAAGTCGGAGGCAGGCTGATGATCCTCGTGAAAACGAGAATTTTTATTATTGATTAGAGTGATGTATTAAAGATAGAGCGATTAGTTGATACTTGTATTGGATTGATTAATGAGCAAAATCGTGAATACATAATAGGTGCACAATAGTGCTTTGAATATTAGTAACAACAAATAAACGCGCCGCGACAGGGGGGAACATACGTGATTGAAGAAGTGAGTGACACTCTCTCTCTCTCTCTCTCTCTCTCTCTCTCTCTCTCTCTCTCTC